TATATGTTTATCTATAATCAACAATCATTCAAAATACAAAGCTTAATATTAGAACGAATTTTAATAGATGTTAAGTGTTACTTTTTAGGAAAACTATACCATATTTTTTGGATTATTATAAATAAACCTCAAACTCCAAAACATCATCGATGCCCTTTTTTTCTACTTTTTGTGTTGTTTTTATCAAAATAACCTTCACAATAGTCTTAGATATGTGAAGATATCACGATAGACTCATTACCTTGATGGTCAATGTTTTGAGGCATCATAGATGTTTAAGTGTCATGATGGTCATTAAAAGACATCACACCATGATGGTCGGTAAGGGTTCTTATGCCCCATGACGAATGCTTGAGTAAGAGTATAACAGTTAAATTGAAACCGTGATAGTCCAATAAACCATCATGATACTTAAAGAACCGTGATGCGTCAAAACTACATTTGACTTACAACTCGCCATGATCATCATGATTTTTACTGTACTATGATGCCTCCACGGTTTTAAGACTACCGTGAAGACTATTTTCATCAACACACCCAAAAAAAGGGTATGGATGAGGTCTTGGAAAGTGTTGGGTTTATTTCTAATAATAATATATATATATATATATATATATATATAGTATAATTTCCCTACTTTTTATTTAAAAATTATTTTTTATAGATAACTTAAACATTAAGCAAGGGTAACAAAAGTTAACAATAATTTTGTACAGCAAAAAACAACATACCCATGAGATGATTGTAGCTGCGATAAAGATGTTGGGATGAATGTGGCAAGACAAGAAGGAATAAAATTCAAAATGAATACATTTGGGAGAATTAGGTGTGACTCTAATATGAGATAAGATGATAAAAAGTAGACTTAGGTGGGTTGGCCATGTGCAGCACATACTCAATACAACACCTCCTAGGATGTGCGAGTCAGTTAGTGTGGAAGGCTAAAAAAACATATCGGATAAGGCCCAAAAGGACATGTTTGGAAGTAAAAAGAAAAAATGTGGGGACTTATGGCCTCACTGAGAGTATGGCTCTTAATAGAGCAGAATGATGAACCGGGATTTATGTAGCCGGTCCAAATTAGTTAAGCTTTAAACAATCAAATTAGAGCCTACATTCAAATAGTATCCAGAAATACGGTTTCAATACTGGAAATCATTGTGATAGCCTTCAAATATATTTGTATCTTTATTTATAAATTTTAAAGCTTAAAAAATAGTGTAAATCTACAAATCTATGAAAACTTGAAAATCTTGAAAATTAATAGTAAAAAAATACGTTATAAAATAAGCTATTTCCAAAACTTGAAATCTATGTTTCTATCATGTCCATGTATCTTGGTGTTGAGATGATCAATTTGAGGATATTTGAGCATCAAAACAACCTCTTCTAGTAAATTTTTTGAGGTATATATATATATATATATATATATAATTAATGTGTATACTAGGAAGAGTGTATACTATGCTATCACAGGAGCAATGAGATACACTTCCTCTATCGGGTGAAATTACTACTTCGAAAAAACTATTTGTTTTGTAAATCCCATATCCATTTAAAATTCACCATATGCTAATTTAGGAAAAGGGAAAATATATGAGACCATTTACCTGTAGTACAAGTTAATCATAATTAGTCTTGACCATTGGATGTAAATTTGGGTGGCTACATTATTTTATTGACTAAGCTCAAAGTTCAAATGAAATTTTTGCGAACTTTGTGACACACCCAAACTATCAAATTTCACATCAGATGGTTATAAATAATTGTGATATCACTATACCAAAGGTAAATGGTCTCATAATATACATTCTATAGACATCCCATTTTGAAAAACTAGCAAATTAGCAGGAATCTGTCAATTCTGAGCAGATTTGGTCTGCCCCAAAATGACAATTTCCGCGTGTCAACCACTTCGTGACCATTTCTGAATAGATTTATTGAATCTGGACCCTTTTGGTATGTTGACCCTAAAACAACAATTTGGGCTGGAAAATCTATTTGAAATTGGCAGTTATCCACTCCAGCCGATTTTCTGTCTTTAAAAGATCATTTATGGGGTTAGTTTTTAGACTCATTAGACTTTGACAAATTGTATGCCAAGAAACTTGATGCCCTGAAAAAACCCTAAAACTAAAAAGGCCTTAGCTTTAGGCCATTAAACCCACAACCTTTAAGTTAAGAAATCTATCCAACCAAGCCAAGGCTTGATCAAAATATGAAGAGAAATAAAGATGATGCAGCACAACATAAACTCAGTCGGTCTTGATACGGGTGAGGCCTCGAAGCACAGAAGTTCCAGGCCAACTGGCCTGGTCTAGTATGTTTTACTCTTTATTGCATTTATTTTTTTTATTTATTTATTTTATTATAATTAAATTGATTTTATTGCATTTTGTGTAACATTTCATATTTCAGATCATTGCTACCTCTGCCATTGATCCGAGAGTAGATATGTTCATTTCCAAATAGATCTGATCTTATATTAGAATTTGATTGTCTCACTCTCTATCATTCTTATAAAAATCAGTTTATGGTATGGATCCGATGGATCTTCCTCTGAAGATCTATCCAATCTGCATCATGAACACATTCCCTTAGGAAAAAAACACTTAATTTGTATTTTAAGTTCTTCAATACTTCGAAGATAATTTTAAAATGCTATTTTCCTAGACTACAAAGTATGATTTGAAAATTCCCTTTTTGGTGGCTATTTGCTAAGAAGATAATTTTAAAATGCTATTTTCTCCTATACTACAAAGTACTATTTGAAATTTTGCTTTTTTGTGGCTACTCGCTTCCTTGAATAAGTCGAAGGAAAAAGTTTACATAAGGTGAAAATCACATGGTATTAAAGTGCGCCAGTTAGGGCTGGAAAGTCTTTTCAGGTCTTATCAAATTCTTTAACATTGAAACTACATTTTTAGTACGATTTAGAACATCGCCTTAACTTGATTGTTTAAGATAAGAGCGTCTTGTATAATTCATGCCCTAAATAAAAAAGAAAGTACATAATGAGACTATTTACCTGTGATACCAAGTGGTTATAGTGGTTATAATTAATCTTGACAATTGAATATAAAATTGGGTGACTGCATTTATTTTAGGGGAAAGTATAGAAAGAGATCATTAACCTTTAATACAAGGTGGTCACATTAATATTGACAATTGGATGTGAAATTGGGTAGTTGTAATTATTCCATTGACTAAACTCAAATTTCAAAAGAAATTTTCTAGAACTTTATGACACATCCAAGCTATCAAATTTCACGTCAAATGGCTGTAACGAATTGTGACCACCTTGTATCAAAAGTAAATGGTCTCATTGTATACAATCTCTTATTTTATCAACCAAGCTCAAAGTTCAAATAAAAAATTCTCAAGCTTTGCCAAAAAATCCAAACTATCAAATTTAATATGGACAAACTATCAAATTTCATGTGGTTTGGTTGTAAGTGATTGTGACTTTTTTTATCAAAAGTAAATGGTTTTATCGTATATTATCCCTAATTTAAAAAAAAAAGTTTATACAAGATTGTAACTTTAAAATATAAAACTATAGATGCATCTCAAAAATCCATCCAAAAAACTAGTTTTAATATTGAAAAACCATGTAATTAATCATCTCGACAACGAGATACATTATATGAAAAAAGAAAGGATTTTGAATCCTATATTTCGCTACTAAACTAAATCCACTCTCCTTTCTCTCACTAGAAATCCTTCACTGCTTTCTCTCACTAAAAATCCGTCTCTCTTTCTCTCACTAGAAATAGCGAAGCTCTCTCTCTCTGCAGAAGCCAGTGTATCTTGTTCTCTCTCTAATGGCTGCCGAAGGCGAAGATGGGATCTCTCTCTCCTCAGAATCTCACATTTCTCTCTCTGCCAATTTCACAACTCCATGCCCTGAGGGCCTTCATCAACCAACAGAACCCACTGATACCGCCATTGATTCGAAGAGAAAAAACCTCGAGAGAGAAGAACTAGAAGAGAATCAGGGAGGAGAAGTAACCGCGGACCCTAACCCTGAAGCTAAACCCCTTTGGAAGACCAGCTTGTGCTCATACTTCAGAAGACATTCTCAGTCTTGTAGACATGCCGAATCGTGCAGGTACGCTCATGGAGAGGAGGAGTTGAAGCCTCGACCTGATAATTCTTGGGACCCGACCTCTGAAAGGGCCAAGAAGCTTTTGAAGACGATCGATGCAATTAGGAATGATGGAGTTGGTGATTTTCCAAGGGAAGATGTGTTGCCAAGCACTGGCTCTGATGGTGAAGGCGACGGAGCTTCTTCTAGTTTGAGAAAATGCATTGTCAATTTGCCAAAGCAGTGGAACTCTGATAAATTGAAGACCTTCTTAACTGATCAGGTATGATAGTTCTCATTAACAACTATCGGGATGATTTGTGAATGAAAATGTATTTTCTGGTGGAAAAGATTTAAAGATGAGCTCATATTCCACTACCATTAGAGATTTCTAAGAAAAAAGAAGTGTCAGGATGACTTTCATTTAAATAGCAATAAATGTTTTTATGGCCTGTGAAATAGCTCATGTGCCTCATCTTTTTTTTATTTTTGGTAATTTCTTATGGTGGAAAGGTTATTTGTTTTCTGCGACAAGATGAATTCGTGGCTAGTTGAATTTTTTGATAATGGGGCAGATGCTCTCAATCAGTTCAAACGAATAGCTTGTTGTATTGTTAAATTTGTTTCAATGAGATTAATGGAAATTTGGACTGTGTACAGGTATAAAACTATACCTTAATTTATTCTGAAGAGAATAAATGATTGACTATTGACTATAGACTATAGAGAGGACTTCAGATTTGGTGGGCATAAAAAATGTAAACATCTGTATGGACAGGTATTGGATGCAGTGTAGTATAAAATATCTATGGAAGCATTGGACAATTTCCCAGAGCTCACTGTGCGCAATTCAAAAGATGGATTGGTTTCTGTCCCATTTGAATTGAAAAATAGAGCGTCTTTTATCAAGATAGTCAGATAGGCAATCTTTTGCTGAAAATACATACATAAACCATCAATATCATTTAAAAATTTGGTGTTATTATCATTCTGAGGATGTAATAGAGATACTTTAGGAGACAAGCAATCTTCAAATGAGAACCCTTTATTTGTTCTTTCTTGTCATTGATGTCACACATGGTTTGGAGTGAGTGAATCTAGGTGTTGAGGGGCTTAGAGAACATTTAAGTAACAATAGAAACTTATATCTCCTCATACTCTCTCTCCCAATCAACTCATCAGTTAGTTGCTCCTTGAGAGTATAGTTAAACTGGTAATTGAGATATGGGTTGCAATTTAGCTGGGTAGTTCCATAGTTGAGCATAGAATAATCATCAAAACATTGAGTTCTAATTCCTAAATGCAAGCTAAGGTCGTTAAGAAAACATTGTGGTGACAAACTATGAAGAACTTGTTAGTATTTTTTATTTTGTAAATGCTACTGTATTTCGTTGACATTTTTTTTTTTTAATTCTTTTTGTTGAGAAAGAAAGGTGTGGGTTTTAGTCCTACATTGAATATGGGAGTGTGGATTGAGTGGTATTTAAGTATGAGCATTCTCATGCTTTATGTTTGTATAACAAAGGTGAGAGTGATGGTGCATATGCAGAGCACACTAAGTGTGTGACGCTCACACGTACGTGTACAATGGCGCTTGATGGTGCACTTTGCTGCACTTCACATTAACATGCTCGCATAGACGCATGAGGCGCCCCTCGGCCGAGCACATGTGCAGGTTGAACTCGAGGCTCGCTATCTTTTTGCAAGCGCAACACGGAAATCGAACAGACACTAGCCGTTAAAGACTTGAGGCACCTGATGTATGTAACTGTCCACATCCAACGACTAAAACCCGTGACGGTGGCATTTTGTAATTAAACAGTCACGTTCTGAAGTCTAATAGTTTGAAACTGTTCACTTGAACAATAAATTCGCAGCACCTAGAACTCTATAAAAGGGACTGTTCTTCCCATTCTTTGTATGCCGTTTTCGCTAGAAAGCTTGAGCACTCATCCCTCCGTCCGTACTCGTTTTTTTTTTTGCCTTTCTCTCTCGAAAATTACAAGACTCTGGTAGTCTACAGTTCTAGCTCAGGTGCATAGAGCTTTGAAGCACCAAAAAGAGACCTTTTATGTTTATGTATCACGAGAACGAATTTCTCTTCTTATGCACACCATTTATAGTACCGAAGGGGGGCAAATAATGTCATGAGAAAGTGCTCCTGCATACCCAAAAACAGGAAGAATTTTTTCCTAATTTATTTTTTATTTGTTGCCCCTTTTTCACCCAAATCATTTTCCAACAGAACTGCGAAGCAGTCACCATTTATTATTGCCTAATCACATGTTAGAGTGAGAAAGAAGACCTTTTCCTAATACAATGCCCCCCCAAATCAAATCATTTATTGAGGAGAGGGTTGAGGTGAGGTGGTGTGGGGCATGAGATTGTTTCTCTCATTGGAAGCTACGTTACTTGGGGTGAAATGTTTAGAAATATGTAGAACCTTCCAAAGTGAAATTGTAAAACAAAATAAGGGGAAACTGCGTATGACATCAATCTCTTGTAAGGTTATTTACATTTTCCTTTCTAAGAACTCAATGCTTGGAAAGAGTAGAATTTCACACAGTGGTGGAATGCTCTTGAAAAAATGAAATGAAAATGCGCTACGTAATCTTAGCGAGAATGGTTATATGGCAATATATGCATGGAACTTACCTAGATTTGAGCCGTCTCTCCTTCAACACTGAGCAAGTCCTACTCAGTAGAGTAAAGAAAAAAGAACTTAGATATAAAAGAACAAAGAAAAAAAGAGTGATTTTGCATGTCATATTTGAGAAATGATAAAAAAATAGGAAAAAACTGAAAGATGATTAACCAAGAAACATTTTTATACAAACTTTAAAGAACGAGCTAGTTGAGTTCCTTCCTAGTTTGAAGTGGCTATGGACTTTGCTATTAGAACTCTCTGCCCAGCATTACTGATCCCATTGACCTGCATGCATATAAAGAACCCTGGATTTAGGGTTTTCTAATGAACAGTTGCAGTCTCAAGCTTGAATTTCTCTTTCATATTAAGAATTGCTCACTAATAAAATTTTCTTTAAGCAGGGAATCATCTATGCCACTGCTAAGAAGAGAAAGGGCATGGCTGTTGGCTTTGTGGACTTTGCTAACCCAGAACATGTTACACATGCCATAGAGGTGCTTCATCGCTTGGCACACTTTCTTCTAATTAACTTGGATGTTGCAAGTTCTTTTTCTACTAACAATGTCTATTATATTTAATTTCAGGTGCTAGATGGAAAAGTAATGGGCAACAGGCAGGTAAAGGTTGTGGATGTCAAGGCTCGAGCATTTGAGAGAACATCTGGGCTCGCTATCTCCAGTAATAATCCAGGTGGTATCATGGAAACTGATTTTGCATGTGGAGATGCTGGGGAGAAAGGACATTCTGTTGAAATTGGTAAATCTGGTGCTAATAACTTGGCTTCAAAAACAAGAACAGTTCGCGAGGTAGTGACTCCCCTCGCTCACATGCAATATGATGACCAATTGGATTACAAGAAGAACTCGCTGTTGCAAACTCTTAAAAGACTTGTAAGAAGAATGTCCTTTATTTTTATAGGAAATTTTTAACCAAGTGTTTCTTGTATCTATGATGGCTTCTTGAATCCACCACTTCTTTTGTTACTTAAACGAAGCATCTTGAGGTGCCTTTTGTGGGACTGAATCATGAAGTTTTTCTTTGTAGACTCGAAATGCACGGAAGGCTTGCCCGGATGGTGTTCCTCTTCCGGAATGGGTTATCAAGTCCAGAGACATAGGCAACTATTCTCTTCCCTCTTGGTTTTATAGGCTGACTTTGCACGAGGGATTTTATGGGAGATGCTTGTTTTCTTTGACTAACCTTTAGGAGACCGGCAAAGCTGAGACGCTTTCAATATTAGGGAGAGCTTGTCAAATTTAGAATTCATAATAATTGTTCCATTTATGTGAATGAACTCATGTGGCTTGGAGACAAGTTTTGCTCTGTAGGACAGAATGTTGGGCGGTTAAAAAACAATATACCCATATAATAAATGTAGTGACGATGAGGATGTTGAGATGGATGAGTGACAAGATAAGAAGGAATAGAATTCAGAATGAATACATTTGAAAAAATTTAGGTGTGGCACCAATAGGCGATATGATGAGAGAGAGTAGACTGAAGTGGGCTGGGCATGTGTGGCGCAGAATCAATATAACACCTGTTAGGAGGTACGAGTTAGTTCAAATGGAAGGCTAAAAAAGGGCAAGGGGTAGGCCCAAAAGAACAATGGTTGGAAGTAGTAAGAAAATATATAGGGATTTATAACCTCACTGAGGGTACGATCCTTAATAGAGCAGAATGACGAACCAAGATTCATGTAGCCTTAGTTGGGAAAATGGCTTTTATGATGATGGGAATGATGTGGTATGGAATGGATCCTTACTTGCAACTCTGTTTTCTTAGAAAAGCCATTGAAATTTGACAATAAAAGAATATTGAGAAATTATTGCTTATATACCTATATTTTAATAAAATCGGAAAAAAAACCCGAACTTTCCAAATCCTTGCCTACACCTTTTTTCCTAATTTTTGGCTTTTTTTTGGATGAAAATACCTTTTACAGTTGTTTTTTTATCGTAATGAACATAACGGTAGTTTAAATACCGTAATAAGTTGAAAGAGTATTACGGTAATTAAAATACCGTAATACCTTAAAGTAGTATTACGGTAATTTAATTACCGTAATAACATTATGGTAATTTAAATACAGTAATACTCATTACGGTAATTAAAATACCGTAATATCTTAAAGTAGTATTACAGTAATTTAAGTATCGTAATATTGCCCAACCCTCAATACAAAGGATTTTCTACTCTCTCGAGTCTACTATCTATTTACTCCCTCGACAAAAATCCATGCTAGCTGTATTTTTCAAATCTCAAATTTTTAGGATATAGTCTCTACTTAATTGTTATATGGCTCTCAACATTTGAGAATAAAAACACTCTTAATAGGTGTTTTTGAGTGAGGGAGTAGATCTACATTGTGCTCCCATGAGAACATGGATTTTTTGAAAAGAGAGAGGGGTAGCTTTGATATTAGTTTCGGTTTGAAGCTTTTCAACCAATAGGACGGTGGAAGTGACCGAAAAAGTATTACGGTAATAAGAATACTATAAAGACTTCCTACACATTACGGTAGTTAAATTACAGTAGTAGTTCATATTACGGTAAAGACTTTCCATCCTCCTATTGGTTGAAAAGCTTCAAACCGAAGCTAATATCAAGGCTACCCCTCACTCTTTTAAAAAAATCTATGTTCCCATGGAAGCACGATGAAGCTACTTCCTCGCTCAAAAAATACCTATTTAAGAGTGTTTTTGTTCTAAAGTTTTGAGAACCATATAAAAATTAAGTAGAAATAATATCCTAAAAATTTGAGATTTGAAAAATACAACTAGCATTGATTTTTGTCGAGAGAGTAAATAGATAGTAGACTCGAGAGAGTAGAAAATCCTTTGTATTGAGGGTTGGGCAATATTACGGCAATTAAATTACCGTAATACTACTCTAAGGTATTATGGTATTTTAATTACCATAATGAGTATTACTGTATTTCAATTACCGTAATGTTATTACGGTAATTAAAATTACCGTAATACTACTTTAAGGTATTACGGTATTTTAATTACCGTAATACTACTTTAAGGTATTACGGTATTTTAATTACCGTAATACTCTTTCAACTTATTACTGTATTTAAACTACCGTTATGTTCATTACAATAAAAAAATTACTGTAAAGGGCATTTTCATAAAAAAAAGCCAAAAATTAGGAAAAAGGGTATAAGCAAGGTTTTGGAAAGTTGGGTTTTTTTTTTTTCGATTTTATTAAAATATAGGTATATTAGCAATAATTTCCCAAGAATATTTGATTGATCATATTTATTGCACTCTGTGCATGTTTACATCGAAACTTGAGGTATACATGATGTGGGTAGGGTTATTGTATTTCCATACTTCCAGAGATTGAAACTAAGGCTGCTATAGACATATTGTAGAGAATTTAGTGGTATAGTATGATTTTTAAAAAGAATAATTTTTCAAAGAAGGAATCTTGACTGCTTTGAGGAGTTGATAAGGGTAGATTTATGAAATAGTAAAGAAGTTATCAAACTTATTGTTGTAATAAGAGTTAAATTTCTGCGAGAGAAGAAAGAAAGTATTTTAAGGCCTAGTGAGAGGGCTCTATCTTTTCAAACTTATTATTTTCTTTTTGATTTCATATTTTCTTCCCATTTTCCAGGCATCAATGCATTACCTTCTACAATCTTAATTATATGATAGTAACAGGGCGAGGTTTGTATACGTTGTCCTATAAGGTGCCCCTCTAAATTTTTCTAGAAGATGTAGTTCCTGTATCAGAAACCTTATGATGGCCTGAAAATCTGTGTTCAACCCTAATTACGAAATTTTCAAAATCCGAAAACAGTATAGATCAAGTAGATGTATAAACACATGAAAATCTTAAAAATAGACTTGATAACTTGTTACAAGATGCATTATTTTTAGGACTTGAAATTCTATTTTTTCTTTATATCTATAGATATTGAGGTCGAGATGACCAATTGGAAGGTTTTTCAATTTCAGAAGACTCTTTCTACTGGTTTTTTGAGATGCACCATACTTATATAGTATAAGGTTGCAACCTTATATAGACTTTATCCATATCAACGCCAACAACAACAACAATAATAACTGGTGATGATGATGATGATGATGGTAACAATAATAATTAATAATAATGATAATAAACATCTTAAGGCAGTTTGATTTTGGCCTTAGGTAGAGTTTTACATAAAGGTCTTGTAGTGACAGTTTTAAATATAAATATTGTGGGCATTGTGAGGTTGTTCAATATACATAATGAGCTTGTTCACTATATACTTTGTTGCAGTGTGGCAGAGATGGGGTTTATTGGCAATGTGGTTGTGAGTTGGAGTTGCAGGAGACTGAAACCTCAGAGGCTTTGGAGTTTCAAAGATTTGGGGCTTCTGGGAAATGGACTTTAGAGTTGTTGAGATTGTGTTTTTTGGAAAAGGACTTTGCGGAGAGTTAAATGTTGCAGGGGGTTGTAGTGGTTTTGGGGGTGGGGGGTGGGCTCTTTTTTGTTTTTTGCTGCAGGAGAGAGAGAGAGAGAGAGAGTTGAGTAATTGGGAGAAAGACGGGATTTGAAAGAAGAGGAGGCGTAGAGAGAGAAAAAATGGTGGTGTGGAGGTGGGGTAGAGAGAGCAAAAGAGAAAGAAATGGGGGAAGCAGTGAGATGGCGAAATGGGGGATGAGGGAGGTTGGATCATGGGCTTTCCCCACACTGTAGTTTTTAAAGAAAGGGGCATTTCAGGGGCATTTTGGTCCCCAAAAATATGAAAATTGACCTTAGGGGGTGAATGAGAAGAGAAATACTGTTGGGGAATATAGTGTAAGAGAATATTCAACAGGGGGTATTTTGTGGAGAAGCTCCTATATTGGGGGGGAACATATGATTTTCCCTTTCTAAACTGCATGACTCATGATAAATGTTAATAGAAAGTGTACCATGTATGATCTTATATGCAGGTCATTGTGAATAGACATGACTCTGTCATTTCTTAATTGCATATTCTTTTATGATAATCATGCACTTTGCTTATAGATAGTTCCCATGGCTACACAAATTAATTGTTATGTCCTTTGCTAGTATTTTAGATCTTGTGTAGCTATGCTTTTTTCCTTCTCTCTTTACTCACTTGGAATGTCAGTTTCAATGATAGCCGCTTAAATGACAGGATAGTTACTTTTGTATCCAAAATTTGCATGGAATTATATTGGTGCAAATTAATTTCTTACGAAGATCTTAAATTGTTAATCTATGACACAACTCTCCCATTGTGTTCCTTCCTTTTGCTGTTGTACTTGTTTGTTGCATTCGGCTATGAAGTATCATTCATTGAAGGGAAACTTGGTTATCTGTTGGGAACCCTTTTCCTGGGGAATACATGACAAAAACTCTTGCAATCCTATTCCTAACTTTTATGGGAAACATGATTCCCTTGCCTTTCAGCCAGGTTTCTCATGTGTTTCTCGCAAACTAGTCTCTCGCAAACTACACACGGTCTCTTATGAGTCTTGCAACAAAGTCCCCTCCCAAACGAGCAACCTGTTTGCTCCCAAACGAGCACCTGTTTTCTTATGAGTCTTGCAACAAAGTCCCCTCTCAAGCATGTGGGCACTTTGTATATTTCCTATTTGTTTTACTACAGCGCTACCACTGTTTCTCTATGCAATTTCAAATTTATTTTTTGGGAATATACCATTTGTGAAACATATCATTTTTCCCATCTTGTTGCTGTTTACATTTCTTAATATTTTAAGTATCCTTATATTGTTCAGAATTTACGTGATAATGTCTAGGATTTGGCAAACACTTAAAAAGTCTAGGATTGCTTATTAAATTTAAATACATTCTTTGGATTTGCAGGTGGCCTTCCATGCAACCTGGAAGGTATTATAAAGTCACCACTAATAAATGGCTACCGCAACAAGTGTGAATTTTCTATTGGCTATTCTCAACATGGTGAACCGACTGTGGGTTTTATGCTTGGAAATTTCAGGTTTGGCTTATGCCTAATATTTTCAAGGAAAAGTATCATTTAAATGGTCAAACCACGTTACAAAATCATTAAGGTGGTCAAATCGTCCTATTTACAATATAACGGTTAGTTTTTAAGTCTTATTTCGCTCGGGCATCTTCTCAAAAGAATGTTAAAATATGAGTATATGACCAAACTGCCCATGTTCAGGATTGGGAACCTTGAATGAGCTGGTGCATTTCGGTATTTAGCCAACTTAAATGGCCAGCAATGCCCTTGGTTGTTCAAGTTTAGCAGCACAAATTTGCGAGCTGCACAGAATTGTCAAGTTATCATGGTAACCTAGTTTTTCAGGGTTAACGACATAGAGCTCACTTTTTTCAATTGTAAAACCATGTTATGTGTTGTTGACCCTGAACAAAGCCATGTATTATCATCATTTGGCCCAGGCCACTTTAGTGGGAATTACCAAAATGGCCTACTTGTTCAGGGTTCCCAATCCCAAACAAGGGTAATTTGGTCAGTTTTAATATTTTTTAAGGAGGTACCTTAGTGGAATGAAACTTAAAAATAGCCATCCTTAATGTTGTAAAGTAGTTTGAGTATTTACTTTTATATTTCCCCTGTTTTTAAATTTGCAAATTGCAAATGTGTGCAATCCATCGATGCTTTCTGTATTGGAATTTTCAGGGAAGGTATGACAGCGGTTGAGGACCCGGGTGATTGCCCCAACATTTCTAGCATTGCTTGCAGATATGCTTCAATCTTTCAGAGTTTCATAAGAACATCAGTTTTACCGGTATGGAACAGAATTCAGAATACTGGATTTTGGCGTCAACTCACTGTGAGTTATTTTCGGTTCTATGTTCTCAATGCACTATTTATTGTGCCATCATAATAATTTATTCTTGCAATGAGCATTTCTGGTATTGCATGTATATGGTCGTAAAATCAATGCTATCAGATTTGCCTCTCTTCAGCTGAAGAGGCCAGAGGCTTCTCCAAACAGAAATGAAGGGCTTTCAAACAGAAGCAGGGTTTGTTTCAGCCTGCTTTGGTGTGTGTTGGATATATTCTTCGATTTCTTTGGCAAAAAAGCGGGTTTTTTTTAACAGATTTTCATTGTTTTATGTACTATTATTATAAATATTAGAAAACTTTACCCAAATCCCCCAAAGCATCTAAGTATTTCCCTTCCCTGGCCAAACTGAGGCAGGCCTTGAAGCAAATCTGATAACAATGCTTGAAACTATCAAATGAACTTGTACACTTGAACTTCCAATATGGTAGAAATTATGTTACTTTGAACTTGAATACACTGAAATCCACCGCTGTACTGTGAGAATTTTGTTTTTTTTGTATCTTCCTTTGTTTTTTTTCTATGTTGCAGAGTCTGTATCAGTATAGTTGACTTTGTTGCACAGATACTAGAAATGGATTCTTTTATGTATGTGATACTTCAAATTAAAAAAATATATGGGTAAATAGTAGTTGCATTCTTGGGTAGCCATATCTGGGCATCATAGGTAGTCGCCACTCATAAGAATTTGTGGAATTGTAATATAATCGCCCTTTTTGAAAGCTAATTGGCTCTTACCAGATGACTAATTGTATTTATTAATGTCATATTACTTTCAAAGTAATATTGATCATTAACAGATTTTTACACTTACAATAATATAATATAGCAGATATAAACTGTAACAACTTTTGTAATTATAGGTTCGAGAGGGGAGGGCTCCAAGTCAGCCTACTGAGCTTGAAAGGGCAACAACTTCTATTGCAGAGGTTATGCTTATTGTTCAGGTTTGTTGTTGGCCTGCTCTTGAAATGATTTTGCCTTTGGTTTTGTTGTTTCTATTTAAAGTAAGTGTTAGAGATTCATTTTCTTGTGTACTTTTTTGCCTTCTTTTCATGGCCTTGTGATGAGGTCTTCTATCTCTAGGTTTGCCCGCTTGGTGTTGATGAAGAATTAAAGTCAAGTGAATTCCAAAGAATGGCCCAATCTCTTGCTGAGGGAGCATATGCATGCTCACCTCCATTACCTTTCACTTCACTTGTAGTGCAGGTTATTTCTGCTTTGTCTCATGTTGTTTGGTTATTGTTCAGTTAATGTTTGATTTGTCTTAATCCAAGCATTGCCAAATTGTTTTTTTTCTTAGATTTTTCTCTTCTTTGTTTCTTGTTCTGGATAAGCTTAGGTCTCAAAACATGGTAAAGGAAAAGATGATCTATATTTATTCTTATGTATAATTGTATCTCATGTCAATATCATAAATGGAAAGACATCTTTTACAGTTTTCCATTGTACCATGGGATTTTGTCAGAGCCATATTGGAAGTTGGTGGTTTACTTTGGCCCCCATTTATGGAATATATTTCCCATCATCATGATTTAATCCTCTAGCTGACCCCAAATAGTTGGGATAAAGCTCGGATAAAGATGATGATTTAATCCTCTAATTTATACATGTGGGTTTCAAGCTGTTCATTGTTTACCTTTGAATGACCTCTCAAATAATGCAGAGATGAGTTGATCCCATAGGTTTGTCAAAAAAAAAAGAAAAAGAAAAAAAGGTTGGTTCCATATGCATAAAAAAAATTCGATGGCCTAGGTTTTTGATTCTCCACTTGAACTCCTGACTGCATGGTTCTTTGGCCAATTGATTGTAACTGCAGGAGCACAAGGGCATATCAAATGCAGCACCAGTTGATTCTCCATTGCTTCCTTTACGTATACTGCAGCAGGAAGGCACCTCTGAGCACAATGATAATCTTAGTGCAACTGAACCACGAATTCGTGATTATATAAGCAACCTTCGTTTCTCCATCTCTCCCACTGCATTTTTTCAGGTTAGAATATCTACTTTTTTATTTCACCAACTTAGTGGTGGCCACGTCAGTAATCTGTGACTAATAAAACCTCAGGTTAACACTCTTGCCGCAGAGAAGCTATACAATCTTGCTGGAGAGTGGGCCGGACTTGGCCCAGATACCTTGCTTTTTGATATTTGTTGTGGGACTGGGACGATCGGTCTAACTTTAGCACAGCATGTTGGTATGGTAATGTCCTAATAGAACAGAGACATTTTTCTGTATTTGATCTTATGCTCCAGTTTAGATTATACCATATTATGAAATTGCTCATCATGCAAACAGTTAAAAGCTCACCATTCCGGTTAGTGTTCAAAAATAATTCCTGTCAAATCTTAGTGATTTTAATGAATTTCTGAATCTTAACTTCCATATCTCTAACAGGTTGTTGGCGTTGAAATGAATGCATCAGCAGTTTGTGATGCTTTGAGAAATGCAGAGACCAATGGCATAAAGAACTGCAGGTTTGTATGTGCTAAGGTGAGATCTCGAATGGAATTCGGTTTATCTTCTCTTTGTTTTGGCTGGGAAAATAAAGGGGGGAAGAGGGACCCTGGTTGGTTGATTTTCCTATGCTTGTGAACTGCCCCAAGATTGCCTAAAGTAAGATAAATGTGAAGGATATTGTTTAGTATCTGGAAAAAGAACTTATTCAGGTATTGGATAAGTAAAGCAGGAAGCAAATCTAGGCTATTGTTCTTAAAGAGACCATTTTTCCGGTTGCTTCTGGATCCCCTATATCAAGTAGCTTTTAAATTGTAAGCTTTTGAACCGTAACAGTAGGAGCCGCAACACCTACATGTTATGCTTCAAGCAATCTAGACATCTCTCTCACTCATGTTTCCCCAGTAACAATCCTATCTTCCTATAACTGCAAGTTAATGTGGGGATTTGGCAGGCAGAGGATGTTATGAGTGCCCTTTTGAAGGAGTACCTGGATTTCTCACAACAAGAAGATGATTCCCTACTCCAGCTTGCAACCAATGGTTCAGAGAAAATCAATGACGAAAATAGTCTCTCTAATGAAATCGGCACTCCTGAATCTGCATACAACAGTTTGGAGAAAACCAGTGACAAAGATAATGTCACCAATGGTATGAACACTGGTTCTGCCTCCTTAACTAGTCATATTGACCATGTTGAGATGCGGTTAAACACTTCAGATACCTTTGGCAGTAATGTAGATAGCAGCAAAGTAGTTAACATTGATGGTTCAGTTAACGTAGGGTTGAACGATTTAAACCCCGAGAATTCCATAATAGAGGACAAGAATAAACAGAATGTGAAGCTCCAATTCAAAAATGTTGTTGCCATTGTTGATCCTCCACGTGTTGGTCTCCATCCTGTTGTAAGTACACGCATCCTCGTCTCTATGAAGCAAATGATTCAACACACAAAGATGTCAATACTGTGAATACGTAGTGTATTTTTTTCTTCGTTTCATCTTGGCATTTTCATATTTTATATTATCTCTTTCAATATTATTTTTCAATTTTTTTGGGATTTCGATGTTCTTTTCATTCTACTCGTTCTTTTTTTTTTTCAATCACCTTTTTCTTTTAAAACCTTTTTCATGTTCTTCTTTGTTCTATTATATTATCAAATAAGTCTTATCATGCCATTATGTTTTGTGTGGAATATCTTCATTTGGTCTGTCCTATAATTTGGGTTTTGACTTAGCAGTCCATTTTGGAAGTTGGGAGAGCAAGTTGAAACATCCTCTCTTCCCATATCTCCAATTTCTTGCTTGCCATTCCTTCTTTCTTACTGTGGCTTTATTATAGTCTATTAATTGTTTTGTTATGTCCTACTATTTGTTAGGACATCAGGGTTAGTTGGGTTATTTTTTGTCTGTATTCTACATCCTTATGGCAACTTGCATTTCGGTGGTTTGTACTATTTCTTTTTTCACTTGTTCCATGTATTTTTATGTTTGAAGCACAGGTGATCAAAGCAATAAGGACTCATCCAGGTCTACGACGTCTTGTGTGAGTTTGCTTTCAATCTTCTCTTTTTTAATGTTTTGAAATTATGCTATAATCCAGTGCTCATTCTTAATTTTTGGAAATTATGCTATTATCCAATGGCCTATGGGAAACCAATGCAATGGGGCCGTCGCCATTCAATGAAATGGATGAGTGATGTATAATCGGGTAAATCATTGGGGCTATGTCCTGTTTTGGTGAGTCCCACTCTCTCTCCTTTATTCCATTTCATTGGCTGAATGGATTGTCGTTTTCCTTCTGAGACTGCAATAAAGTGATAATGTACTTACCCTACTTTCTTTATGTTATAACAACTTTTTGCCGAAGTTGACAATCAGGAAAAATATAATAAAGAGAAACTGTTTGTACACAACTCGCTTTGTTGAGACATCATGTCTATGCTATTTGTCCATTTCTTTCTTTACTGCAAGACTGAAATTTTCTTGAGGTTGAACTTCTTGCTTAGCTGTTGGCTTTAGGGCAGTGGTATTAAAATGCAAGGTTCAGATATCCACCTTTTGTTGGGGTAAGTTAGCTGAAGTCTGAAATTTGGATGTTTCGATGTGCCCCCTACACTCCAAGTTACCGAGTCTATAAGTCTATCCCCACACCCTTTACCTTCCCCGTTTACCCACCTGTTCACTTGAGAGAGAGAGAGAGAGAGAGAGAGAGAGAGAGAGAGATCGTTACCTACCAAGAGTATTTAGTAAGGTTA